GTACACGATCAACAAGATCAGTCCAAAACCGAAGATCAGTCCAAAGCAGAATGTTTGCAGAATGTTTGTAAACTAAGTCTACAAATTAAAAACATAAAATAACGCCACACAGCAGGTCGCAACATAGACTCTGCTAGCCGCCATTGTCTTAGTTACGTTCAACGTTACGTCACGTATGACGAAAGCGCGTAAGTGCATGCCCACAGACACCCATAGAGAATGTATTGAAAGCTTTGAAATGTGAAAAAAATAGATTTTACATGACAGGCTATGAGAGACTTCTGGGCGATTTTCAACCTGACTGAAATCGCCCAAAAAACGGGCGGGGCCATTTGAAGCACGACTTTAGCCTGATTTGACATTTAGTGGCTGGCAGATCAGACGTGAACACTGATAACTGCTGTTGCCGTGCGTTGTGCAGACCACACCACCCTCTGGAGAGCCCTGCGGTTGTGGGCGGTGCAGGCGGTGATACAGCCCGACAGGATGCTCTCAATTGTGCATCTGTAAAAGTTTGTGAGGGTTTTAGGTGACAGGCCAGATTTCTTCAGCTTCCTGAGGTTGAAGAGACGTTGATGCGCCTTCTTCACCACACTGTCTGTGTGATGAGCCCTGTAGGCTGTCTCATCATTGTTGGTAATCAAGCCTACTACTGTTGTGTCGTCTGCAAACTTGATGATTGAGTTGGAGGCGTGCATTGCTAAGCAGTCATGGGTGAACAGGGAGTACAGGAGAAGGCTGAGCACACACCCTTGTGGGGCCTCAGTGTTTAAATGTCTTACTGATGTCGGCCACGGAGAAGGAGAGCCCACAGTCCTTGGTAGCTGGTCGCGTCGGTGGCACTGTGTTATCCTCAAAGCGGGCAAAGAATTTGTTTAGCTTGTCTGGCAGCAAGACGTCGGTGTCCGCGAAGTGGCTGGTTTTCCTATTGTAGTCTGTGATTGTTTGTAAACCCTGCCACATACGTCTTGTGTCTGAGCCGTTGAATTGCATCTCCACTTTGTCTCGATATTGACGTTTTGCCTGTGACATGATGATCTATGCTTGGCTGCAGTTTGACAAATACAAATGATATTACTCTTATCCATAATAATCTCATAATGTAGGTAGCCTACCCGCACTGTATATGCGAGCTGTTGGTTAAAGCGCATGTGCCAAGACCAGAGTGGGCACATTTGCTATATAACACAACAGTTTTTGTGACAAAACCGTCAGTAGAGTTGAAAATGCGATGGAAACCCATTTAACTTGTATTTTTTATTCGGTACATGGGAATTTAACTGCAAAAGTAATTTTTTATGTGAACTATGTCATCATGAGTTTGATGGAAACACATCTCTGGTGGAAAATGCGCATATTGTTTTATGCAGATTTCTGAATATTCACATGAAATTCCTGTACCCAAGAAAGCAAAGGTAACTGAACTAAATGACTATCGCCCCGTAGCACTCACTTCTGTCATCATGAAGTGCTTTGAGAGGCTAGTTAAGGATCATATCACCTCTACCTTACCTGACACCCTAGACCCACTTCAATTTGCTTACCGCCCCAATAGATCTGCAGACGATGCAATCACCATCACACTGCACACTGCCCTATTCCATCTAGACAAGAGGAATACTCATGTAAGAATGCTGTTCATTGACTATAGTTCAGCATTCAACACCATAGTACCCTTTAAGCTCATCATTAAGCTCGGGGCCCTGGGTCTGAACCCCGCCCTGTGCAACTGGGTCCTGGACTTCCTGCCGGGCCACCCCCGGTGGTGAAGGTAGGAAACAACACCTCCACTTCGCTGATCTTCAACACAGGGGCCCCACAGGGGTGCGTGCTCAGCCCCCTCCTGTACTCCCTGTTCACCCACAACTGCGTGGCAATGCACGCCTCCAACTCAATCATCAAATTTGCAGACGACACAACGGTAGTAGGCCTGATTACCAACAATGATGAGACAGCCTACAGGGAGGAGGTGAGGGCCCTGGGAGAGTGGTGCCAGGAAAATAACCTCTCACTCAAAGTCAACCAAACAAAGGAGCTGATCGTGGACTTCAGGAAACCCTCACAAACTTTTACAGATGCACAATTGAGAGCATCCTGTCGGGCTGTATCACCGCCTGGTACGGCAACTGCACCACCCGCAACCGTAGGGCTCTCCAGAGGGTGGTGCAGTCTGCCCGACGCATCACCGGGGGCAAGCTACCTGCCCTCCAGGACACCTACATCACCCAATGTCACAGGAAGTCCAAAAAGATTATCAAGGACAACTACCACCCGAGCCACGGCCTGTTTACCCCTCTATCATCCAGAAGGCGAGGTCAGTGCAGGTGCAGCAAAGCTGGGACAGAGAGTTTGAAAAACAACTTCTATCTCAAGGCCATCAGACTGTTAAATAGCCACCACTAGGCGGCTTCCACCCGGTTACGCAACCCTGCACCTTAGAGGATGCTGCCCTATATACATTGACTTGGAATCACTGGCCACTTTATTAATTGAACACTAGCCACTTTAATAATGTTTACATATTTTTGCTTTACTCATCTCATATGTACTCCCGAGTGGTGCACTAGAGATCCTGGTTCGAATCCAGGCTCTGTCGTAGCCGGCCGCGACTGGGAGACCCATAGGGCGGCGCACAATTGGCCCAGCGTCGTCCAGGGTTGGACATTGCTCGTCCTAATATTTATATATTTCTTAATTCCATTCTTCTACTTTTAAGATTTGTGTGTATTGTTGTGAATTGTTAGATACTACTGCACTGTTGGAGCTAGAAACACAAGCATTTCACTACACCCGCAATATCATCTGCTAAATATGTGTATGTGACCAATACATTTTGATTTGATTTGATAACGTATGCTTGCGGACCACCATAATTTCATAGAACAAGAAGAAGAAGTAGGAGTGTTAATGGGAGGCATTAATGTTATTATGAAGAATCGAGAGACAGGGTGTAGTAGTGCGATTCTGCTGGGTCCCAGCCCATAGCGTTGAGTGTAGAGGTGGATCAAATGAAAGGAATATTCCTAGTGTTTGTGACGCCCGCCGTTTGGTGAGACGTAGACCCGGTGGCAATGTCGAGACTGAGAATACCCTGTCTGTCTTGTTGTGCTTTGACACAGAGTTTCTACCTGATAAAGTCAGGTTAAGTTATATTTGCTATTCTGTGAGGGCCTATGTTCCGAAACTGCTTCGGTGCTTTAGGTTCCCACGACTGAAAGTCACTCTGGATCGTCTGCTAAATGACTCAAATGTAAATGTAAAATGATAGTGTATAGGTGCAGGGTTAGATGGTGGGGGTGACCGAAATGTGCAATTCGCACTCCGACCTGCGAAAGGCAACACAGCGTCTAGTCTGCTGGGAAGCCAGAAGAAGAAGAAGAAGAAGAAGCGTGTAGCCACAGTTATAAACTGTACAGCACAAGTTTCAAATAAGTTTTAAAGACTGGTCATGAATGTTACTGCAGCAGAAAAGTTTTTGGGACTTAAGGATTTTACATCTGAAGACCGGAAGAACCGCTCTCCCAGGTTCCCCTTGGGCCTGTGTAGGGATCCGATCTGTTTTATTTTTTTAACAGAAAAGTTGTTTAATTTATTTTATTTTATTGGTCGTTTTTTGTTTGTTCAGTTTTTTGGGGGAATCCTGTTTCCATCCGCATAGTAGGTGGCGGGTTGCACATTCGATTGTGTGATCGCCAATATACCATAGAAGAAGAAGAAGAACGAGTGTTGCTATTTACATCCAAACCAGTTGAGATATTTATGTTGTCATCACATACTGTACGTTTATTACCGATGATCCAGCAGTTGTATTTTTCTGCAAAGGCGAAGAAGTAACGACCACGTCAAATAGAACAAAGCCTACTTGCCATCTAACGGTAGCTAGATAAATACGAATGGTTTGTTGTTGATGGTGCCGGCTAGCTAGCTAGATAGCTAGCTGTAATGTTAAACTTCGAGATAGCTAGCTAATGTTAGCTAACAATGGCCTCCGTCAGTTTCTACAGTACTGCAGGTCCCATATTGCAACAAAAATACATTGCTAGCTATATTGTAAGTTAATACAGGTACACTGAATTAGCTAGCTAGCAGCTGTCTAATTTGCATGATGTTGTAACTAACAAGCTTGTGAGTCGTGGTGAGCAGAGGAAGACATTGTTGCTCTTGCTAGCTCACGTTAGCTATTGGTAGGTCTTTATTTGCAGATGAGCAATCGTTGAGGTGGGGATTCAGGTTTTCTATAGAGAACTCAGACCGTGTTCTTTATCAGGCTGAAGGTGGGAGATGAGGTACGCCTGAGGGTGGAGACGATCAGGTTCCCAGGGGTGTACTTTGACAATAGGCTGCCCTGGGCAGAACGCATTGAGAGAGTGGTGAGAAAGTGTAAGAAGGTTCTAAATGTGATGCGCTGTCTGACAGGGATAGAGTGGGGTCTGGGCGTTCCTCACTTAGGACCATGTATGTATTTGTGGGGAAACCAGTTCAAAAGAGCAAGTGAATAGATGTGAGAATAGTGTGTTAAATTGAGTTTGTAATGTCACAAAAAAGACAGTAGCTTTGGTTGAGGTTGCTCTGAAGAAAACCCACATTCTTGTGTCCTGTGAAACTGTTTTCACCAAACAATTAGGCCTAGCCTATATCATCTTTCTGGTTTCCAGATGTCCAAATGGATTTTCACCCCAACAGCAACATTCAGTGTTACATAACAATAGTAATTGCTAAGAGATTGCAGATGATGAGCTCTGTGCACTGCAGATAGGAGGACTGTTGCACAATGTTTCTCATTATCTACTTTGACACAGTTTCAGATTCCTGCCTGACTGAGGAGAGTCGGAACGTCCAAAACTCTGAAGAATCCTGTATTAGGATTTCCAGGTACTGTCACTGTGTGACATCTGAAGAACATCTCAGACATTTTGGTGTTTGGTATTACAGTTTGTGAAAAGTGTTTAAATGTGTGTGTGTGTGTGTGCGATAACAAGTTTGTGTGTTTGTCAAGCAGTGTCCAGATGGTGTGGGTGTTCCTCATGAACCGGATGGGGTCTCAGGGCAGCACAGTGGCCCAGCGGAGACGCACGGCCCTGGGGGTGGTCATCCTCCTGCTGGTGGATGTCATCTGGGTGGCCTCCTCTGAGCTCACCTCAGTAAGACACTAGCACTTCCTGTAGTCCCCTGGTTCCACAGGCCTACTTATTCTTATATTTGCTTTTTAGCTTGGAACTGATTGGCAGGTGCACTCTCCAGACAATCCGAGGGTGCACAGGGGGACTTGAAAACCAGCAACACTGCAGAACTGGATGGCCTGGGTTAGGCAACCCTTATTTTGGCTAATATGCTAAAGTTTAAGACTAGTGCTCAATTATAAGACAATGCTTGACCCCTAACCCCTACCCCATAGATTTAAAAGGGTTGAATAGAAATATGGTAGGAGCTTCACCTTGCCTTCTAGTGGGGTCATGTTTTTGGCATGTTGCTAATAATATATGTCCAGCCTTTTCAGAACTACACAAGTAGGGACTAGGGGGCAGTTTTGAATACTAGGAATAGCCACATCTCAGTAGTTTCAAAGTGACCTCTCCCTATTTATTTATTTTTATCTGCACTGGATTGGTTTTAAGTTCCAGACATTAAGTCATATTAGTATTTTCTCTATTTTCCCCCAGTACATATTCAAGCGGCAGGAGTACAACAAGCCCTTCTTCAGCACATTCACCAAGACCTCCATGTTTGTGCTGTACCTGCTGGGGTTCCTGCTGTGGCGGCCATGGAGGCAGCAATGCACGGGCAGTCTCCAGGGACGACACGCAGCCTTTGTACGAATAGCACTGATGTCTCACAACCACAGGGGGGCAATGTTACATCGTTGTTTCCATCTAAAGATGAATTGTTGCTTAGTGCTGTATCTTAGTAGTGGTATTTGATACTAAGGTAATGTTGATTTGCTAACCTACAGCACCTCTCTCCACAGTTTGCTGATGCCGAGGCCTACTTTACCCCCTGTATCAATGACACCAGTTTGAATGACCATACCCTAGTGAGTATAATTGATTAGCTTTTTGTATTCTCTCTTACTCTCGTTTAGATTTTACTGTTGGCTGCCTGAATATACTGTAATGAATGGGATGATTATAAGTAATCCTTTTAGTTGAGTGCATTAGTTGAAGTCTATATTTCTTTCTTCAGAGTGAACCCCTGTATGTTCCAGTGAAGTTTCAGGACCTTCCGACTGAACAGACAAACTGTGCCAATGGAGATTGTGATTCCAGTGAGTATTAACATTTTTTTTTTTTTATAGAGAAATAACATCTTTAGAAGACAGCATTCAAGGAGCATTCAACCCCCTTTGCTTTTTCCACATTTTGTTGCGTTACAAAGTGGGATTACATTTTTTTTTGTCAACGATCTACACCAAACACTCATGTCAAAGTGGAAGAAAAATTCATGAAAAATAAAACACATATATCTTGGTTAGAAAAGTATTCAGCCCCCAGAGTCAATACTGTGTCTCCCGAGTGGCGCAGTGGTCTCTGTGCCACTAGAGATCCTGGTTCGAATCCAGGCGCTGTCGTAGCCGGCCGCGACCGGGAGACCCATGGGGCGGCGCACAATTGGCCCAGCGTCGTCCAGGGGAGGGAATGGCCGGCAGGGATGTAGAGCATGGTGTTTGCAAAGCCAGGGTTGTGGGTTCGATTCCCATGGGGGGCCAGTATATATATATATATATATATATATATATATATATATATATATATATATATATATATATATATATATATATATATATATATATATATATATATATATATATATATATATATATATATTTTTAAATAATGTATGCACTAACTGTAAGTCGCTCTGGATAAGAGCGTCTGCTAAATGACTAAAGTGTAAATGTAATCATGGATCTAGTTCAGTCTTATCAATCACCTAAACATATATTTAATAATCTCTTACCTAGCTTGATGACTGTGGGCATTTTTGCTTACTTTTTGTTGTTCTAAATAGAGATGGCTAGAAGGGCCATTGGTCATATTAGATTGTGTAGAAATGTGCATTAGATGTTAGAAACACCTTTGGCAGCAATTATAGCTGTAAGTCTTTTTTGGTAAGTCTCTAAGAGCTTTGGACTAGAGGTGACAACTAGACCCGTTCCGTATAGACCTGGTCAGATCCAGACCTGATCCGAGAAAGGGTAGCAGCAGAAAAATCTTTTTTTTTAAGCTACTTTATGAATAGGAGTTGATAAAGCGCGAGAGGAGGGAGAGAGTGGTGCTGCTCTAGCAGGTGGGGTAGGGGCCGTATTGTGAGCGAGTGACACAGGGAGGAGGGAGGGAGAGACAAGGGACAGCAACCAACCAAGCCGATTTGCACTATAGTAGACTAATAGCTGCCATAGCTAGGTTATTTATAATCAAATATGATTACGTAGTACCTGTCTTTACTGCATCAATCCGGGAGAAGCTAGCTAACGTTAGCTAGCTAGGCTAATTGAGGCTGCAGTGTATGCACTTTCTCATCCTACAGTTACAACTAACAACAACTCCATTCAGAATATTAAGTAGCAGCCTACCTGTTGGCTCTTGGTCATTGTAGCCTGTCCTTCTCCTTTAACTTTTAAGTCCGTCATTTTAATTCCATCTTCCATTGATTAGATATCTCCTAACTTTTGCCACACATGGAGGCTCTATGACTGTAGCCTATTGCCGCTTTATTGACTTGTGATTGGCCAACAGCAAGCTACACGCGCCACGCTCCACTCTCTTGAAAAGCAAGAGTGGCAGCATAAATTATCTCTGTTTCTCTACTGCAGCAGTCGCATTCGGATCTGTACGGGCCCTTCTGGACAAGTCAGTTAAAATTACACATACCCGAGACCCGTGACAATCATTTCTGATCCGACACAGACCTGTGACATTATTTAGAATACTGGATCTGTCTTCCAATGCTTTGTATTCAGGATAAAAAGTTAATTTCTTTGCCACATTCTTTGCAGTATTGCATTAATGCCTTATTGCAAACAGGATGCATGTTTTGGAATATTTTTATTCTGTACAGGCTTCCTTCTTTTCACTCTGTCTTTAAGGTTAGTATTATGGAGGAACTACAATGTTCTTGATCCACCCTCAGTTTTCTCCTATCACAGCCATTAAGCTATGTAACTGTTTTACAATTACTTTTGGCCTCATCGTAAAATCCCTGAGCGGGAACTGAGTTAGGAGGGATGCCTTTATCTTTAGTGACTGGGTCTATTGATACACCATCCAAAGCCCAATCAATAACTTCACCATGCTCAAAGGGATATTCAGTGTCTGTTATTTGTATATATATATTTTTACCCATCTACCAATCTGTGCCATTCTTTGCATGGCATTGGAAAACCTCCTTGGTTTTTGTGGCTGAATATGTGCTTGAAATTCACTATGCGCCCGAGGGACCTTAAAGCACATTTTTACTCCTGAACTTATTTAGGCTTGGCATAACAAAAGGGTTGAATACTTATTGACTCAAGACATTTCATCTTTTCATTTTTAATTATTTTGTAATAATTTATAAAACTAAGAACTTTGACATTATGGGATATTGTGTGTAGATTAGTGATACAAAATCTCAATTTTATCCATTTTAAATTCAAGCTTTAGAAGTTGTCAGGCCAGTGTGGAAAAGGTAAATACTTCCTGAAGGCACTTACATTTGCCAGATACAAATAATGTGTTGTTGAAAGAACCCTGAAGAATCAATATTTGATCATGTTGGAGAGTAGGAATCCTGTGAACTGCCTTGGTATTTGAGATGATATTTTCTATTTTCAATAATTGACTTGTTTCACCCTATGGGCACTCTTTGTTCTCTACATAAGAGAGCTAGATGTGGTCAAATTAAAATATCATTAACGGACAGAATATGATAATCCTGAACACTGTGGGGATAAGGAGCCTCACATAACTTGAATTTATTTACTGTTATTCATGGTTTGTTAGATGTAAGATAAGCCCTCTTGACAGTCTACAATCATGAATGGTCCTGTAATTTGGCTGGCAATCAGTAATGCCGCCCTCCGGGCCTGCGAATGGATTTGATTGACAGACAGCTGCCTCTGAAGCCTCTGCACCTCAGCTTCCATCCTCTGGTTCTTGATATTTTCAGGATATTTTCAAGGAGCAGCTTGAGACCGTTTCTTCTTAAGGACTTTCATTCTTCTTAAAGTGGCACTAAATGCATGGATGACTTCTCTCCACACAGCTGATCGTTTTCACCAGCTGGTCTCTGATTCTTTCTAAGTGCTTATTCTTTCTGTCCTGAAACTCATTCAGCTTGTTCTGCCTTTCCACAAATGTCCACATACAGTGCATCCTTTTCAATTATTTTGCTGTAATAGTATCTTATGATGTCATGGGTCTCATCCCAGCTCTTGGTAGAATCCACAACAGATTTGTAAAACTCCTCCAGAGACATGGAATAGGCAACATCAAAATCAGACTCCCTCTCTCGCTCTCATCTCCACCAATAGTGAAGATCACAGGCTCAAACCTTCCAATGGTATCAACTAAGGGTACTGTTCCAATGGTAAACATCGTCAGACCTTTGATTCAGAATAAGATTGCAAGAGTTGATGAAAGTTGTTCCAATGAAGTTCTATAATTATCCGCCAGAGAGACAGAAAAGTCAGAGGAATCTTAGCTTGCCAGGTGTGGACTGAATTCAGAATTCAGAAATTCTCTTGGCAACAATTTAACCAAAAATGCAGAATTCTAGGGTCCCTTGGATACGGAATGCAAAGCCTTCACAACAATGATTTATATCATAACAATTCAAACAAACATTCAGAATTCTAGGTTTTCCTAGGAAGAAACATGTAAAGACCTTAGCAAATAATGAAGTTGTAGAATGGAAAATACACTTTGCAGTGTTGACCAACAGAGGGGGGTGTTGAGCTGTAACAGGAGTTCATATTTCTGTCTTGGCTGATCGTTATTGGATGATTATAGTATGTCGCTAGAGGGCTGCATTACAGGCCCTGACCGAGATCATTGTTGCGCGGTCGTCATTTTTCATGCTGCAGGGAGCGGGTGGTCAGACTGAGAACTTTAGGATGAACATTTCTTTTTTAGTCCCGCAGATTATTTGGAAACGGTAGTCTTTCCGTTTTGTATACGTTAACCTATCTATTGTATTAAAAGCAAATCTCTGTCACACTATTCACAACTCTCATCATTCGCTGCTTCAAGTTAAGTAGCCTATCTCTCCTCTCCTAGTTGGGCGTGCGGGATCAAGTGTGCATTTGTTTGGATCTGACAAGATGGCGGCGATAGACATGGTCGCTCCTGTTCATGGCTCCTAAGTAACTTAGCAAAATGTGATTTGATTTGACTCAATTAGAGTAGGCAATATGCATGGGTGGAGAAGCATGGGGCAGGTGCAACCCAAAAATGTGATCATCATTGAAAAGGAAAAGGCGCAACGCTCACTCTTTGCGCCTTTTCCTTTTCAATAAATAGCCTATTACCATTTATTTGCAAATCGTCCCGCTCCTAAAGGTAGGCTATATGCAAAACGTTGCTCAAGAGAAAGTGCAAGTGTATGCTCTCCTCCAACTCTGGCTCTCTTTCAAACTATGTTTAGCCTGTTGGCTGATATAGCCCAGTAGGCCTAATACCGATAGCCTAAAACAATGGACCGAGTGAGAATCTCTGGTAATTTAACCTATTTCTTAGGTTATTTTTGTGCATACAGTGGGGAGAACAAGTATTTGATACACTGCCGATTTTGCAGGTTTCCTACTTACAAAGCATGTGGAGGTCTGTAATTTGTATCAATGGTACACTTCACTGGAGAGACGGAATCTAAAACAAAAATCCAGAAAATGACCTGTAATTTTAAGAAAATTGCATTTATGCTTACATAAGTATTGATCACCTACCACCAGTAAGATTCCAAGACTGTATTTTTCAAATTTTCTACTCTTACTGCTGACACCTTTTAAGTATGTATAAAGGCACCGCCACATCATCAAACAACTCAGACCTCTCACAATGGCCAGAATGAACAATTGTAATTTTATATTAATTTGCATGTATGCATGACATAGTATTTATACATCAAAAGCTTTAATATATGGTACAGACCCTTTTTATTTTTATTTTATTTTTTATATTATTTTTATTTTTGTCATTTAGCAGACCTCTTATCAGAGCGTTAATTATTTTATATTATTTATACGCCCTAGGATGACCCACACCCTGCGTGCAACACCTGCTTAGAGCTAATCCTGCCGGCCATTCCCCCATACAACCTGCCATGTGCGCGCCCAGGGTCTCATTTGTTGCAATACAGAGTCATACGTTTCTGTAGGTCTCCAGTTCACACCTGCACCCCATTCTCCATAAGACCTTCCCGCTTCAGGTTTCGGGGCTGTCGCTGGCAATACAGACTTTCAGCTCCCTCCAAAGATGTTCTATTGGGTTCAGGTCTGGAGACTGGCTAGGCCACTCCAGGACCTTGAGATGCTTCTTACGGAGCCACTCCTTAGTTGCCCTGGCTGTGTGTTTTGGGTTGTTGTCATGCTGGAAGACCCAGCCACGACCCATCTTCAATGCTCTTACTGAGGGAAGGAGGTTTGTTGGCCAAGATCTTGCGATACATGGCCCCATCCATCCTCCCCTCAATACGGTGCAGTCGTCCTGTCCCCTTTGCAGAAAATCATCCCCAAAGAATGGGGCCATTTCCACCTCCATGCTTCATGGTTGGGATGGTGTTCTTGGGGTTGTACTCATCCTTCTTCTTCCTCCAAACACGGCAAGTGGAGTTTAGACCAAAAAGCTCTATTTTTTTGTCTCATCAGACCACATGACCTTCTCCCATTCCTCCTCTGGATCATCCAGATGGTAATTGGCAAACTTCAGACGGGCCTGGACATGCGCTGGCTTGAGCAGGGGGACCTTGCGTGCGCTGCAGGATTTTAATTCATGACGGCGTAGTGTGTTACTAATGGTTTTCTTTGAGACTGTGGTCCCAGCTCTCTTCAGGTCATTGACCAGATCCTGCCGTGTAGTTCTGGGCTGATCCCTCACCTTCCTCATGATCATTGATGTCCCACGAGGTGAGATCTTGCATGGAGCCCCAGACCGAGGGTGATTGACTCGTCATCTTGAACTTCTTCCATTTTTCTAATAATTGCACCAACAGTTGTTGCCTTCTCACCCAAGCTGCTTGCCTATTGTCCTGTAGCCCATCCCAGCCTTGTGCAAGGTCTACAATTTTATCCCTGATGTCCTTAGAGAGAGGAGGAGAGAGGTCTCGGAGACAGGACAGGCCAACAGAGGATCACCCATAGCGACCCATACCACCAAAGGTCACACTATTACCCGAACAAGACGCGAGTATAGCCCCGAAGATCTCCCCACCCATGAGCTGAGGAGGAAGGATTGGAGAGCCCGGCAGCCAGTGCTGCTTAAGGGCAAGGCAGATATGGGAGCCGCCAGCAGAGACAGCAGTGGTCGTCACTCCAGTGCTTGTCCCACCTCGCACCCCTGGGCTATACTACACTCAATTATAGGACCTACTGAAGAGATTGAGACTGAGTCTGCATTCTAAAATCGATCGGCAGACCATTCCATAAAAATGTAGCTCTATAGGAGAAAGCCCTGCCTCAAGCTGTTTGCTTAGAAATTCTAGGAACAATAAGGAGGCCTGCGTCTTGTGACCGTAGCCTACTTGTTGGTATGTACGGCAGGACCAAATCAGCGACATAGGTAGGAGCAAGTCCATGTAATGCTTTGTAGGTTAGCAGTCAAATCTTGAAATCAGCCCTAGCCTTAACAGGAAGCCAAATAAAACTGGAGTAATATGATACACTTTTTGGGTTCTAGTTAAGATTCTAGCAGCCGTGTTTAGCACTAACCAAGTTTATTTAGTGCCTTAGCCGGAGAGTAGAGCATTGCAGTAGTCTAATCTTGAAGTGACAAAAGCATGGATGAGCTTTTCCGCATCATTTTTGCAAAGTTACGAAGATGGAAAAAGGAGAGATCAGGGTCGAGAGTAACGCCGAGGTTCTTCACAGTTTTATTTGAGACGACTATACAACCTTCGAGATTGATTGTCAGATCCAACAGCAGATCTCTTTGTTTGGAACTAGAACTATCTCTGTTTTGGCTGAGTTTAAGTGATGGGTCACATTTGAGGAAAGTGTAATTGTGGTTTTAATTCGAAGGCTGCCCTATTCAATCCCAGGCTATAGTGCCTAAAGCACAGTATAGGGTACGAGATGCTTTTCAGAGAATTACTGTGCAAAATGTACTCATGGTTTTGGTTCCTAAAAAAATGACATGGGTAGAATAAAAGCATGCGTTAGCTTAAGGTTTTGGTTGTCTGGTTCATTCTATTGGTCATGCTGTGATCCATTTACCCCCCCCCCCTCCCCTCCCCTCCCCCCCTCCCCTCCAACCTCAGCCTATAAAAAGCAGCGGGTGCGCTTCAGCAACATCATGGAGGTGCGCCAGCTCCCGTCCACACAGGCCCTGGAGGCCAAGCTATCACGCATGTCCTACCCCGCCGCGAAGGACCACGAGTCCATGCTCCGCACAGTGGGAAAGCTCACCGTCACCGACGTGGCCAAGATCAGTTTCTTCTTCTGCTTTGTGGTAAGTTAATTAAAGTCTAATTCAATTAACTTTATTTTTATCCTGTGAGGGAACTTGTTTTGTCAGTGTCTGTAGACATATGACTTGGTAGACTCTCAGACGTTCTGTATACTAGCTTGGAACTTCCGTATTAAGTTGGAGGGGGGAAAAAGTATATTTAAAATGTGTCTTTGGAGTACCTGCATTTGGGATCTGGTTCAAATGCATTTGGCTATAAGAGCTTTTTGATGTCTCAACTTAATTTTAGTAGTTGAACTTGTCAATTTGCTAGGTAAGTTGACTAAAATGTCTCTTATTATCATTGATGAGTTATTGCTGGTGGGACTACTAATTTTGCTAAAGAATACCCTCAAGAAGTCATGGCTTTGGACTTTTCCCTTCATGAATAGTGTAAATGAGTATAAATTAACACATTATGCATGCAGAATCCTCAACTCGTTTGTCTTACCAACATTGGGCTTGTAAACAAATATTTGTATCATAACTCATTTCCCACATGAGCAATGACCCAGAACTGAGGGTAGACTACACCCACAATGAGTAATAGTAAGTAAACTACCATCTTTGGTACAAATCAGAGGTGTATCACACTGACACTTCTCCTCTCCTACTTCTCTCCCTCACAGTGGTTCCTAGCCAACCTCTCCTACCAAGAGGCCCTGTCGGACACGCAGGTTGCCATAGTGAACATTCTGTCCTCCACTTCAGGTGAGTCCATAGACTAAATGTGACATTACTCAGCCAAATTTACATGTAGGATCTTACAATGAATAGAAAAAACACTGATTATTACTTTTTTCAAATAGTCATTATTGGGCCTTTGGAATAACATTGTTGCAAAGAAATGTTCCGATGTTGGAAAACCACAGCATGTGTATTTAAACATGTCACCTTGAACAGGTTGAACTCTGTACAGTACGTGTTGTGAACGGTCTCACTGTTATTGTCCTCCTCCAGGTCTCTTCACCCTCATCCTGGCGGCCATATTTCCCAGTAATAGCAGCGACCGCTTTACTCTGTCCAAGCTCTTAGCTGTGGCTCTGAGGTAAGCCTTGACATCAGCTGAATTATTGTAGTTACTCTGGGTTGTTACTCTGTAGTTACACTGTTTCTCTGGTCTCTTTCCCCGTAGCATGGGAGGAGTGGTTCTGGTCAGTTTCTCCAGCATGGACAGCACTGACGGAAAAGGCACTATAGGTAACCAGGGAGATAGAAGTGTTCCAGATAAACTTCCTTTCTCAAAATTATATTCCTTATTCCTGCCTCCTGTTACCCTCCTATCCCACTTCAAATTGGTTGTATTTGTCATGTCTTGTACTGTACTTGATCTACTACTTTAAAGCGTCCTTGTGTCATATAAATACAATGTATTATTGAACCAGTGCAAGCCATGCCACGATGTCACGTTTGCTTGCATTGCTAGCAGAAAAACCCTTTGGCGTGTAACCATGAGAGTTGTAACTCATGATACAGGAATGTATTAGCGTAAGATAACGTGATGAAGTCATGTTGTGTTCAGGCTCTCTGTGGTCGTTGGCTGGGGCTGCTCTGTACGCAGTCTACATCGTCATGATCAAGAGGAAGGTGGACCGGGAGGACAAGCTGGACATCCCCATGTTCTTTGGTAAGTAGATCATAGCTATATCTATGAGCTTTCTTGCTAGAGTCAAGTGTGGCAGATTGGTCTGCTGCTGATTTTCATATGCTAATTTATTTCCTGATATAACTCTACACTGTGTGCACAATTATTAGGCAAGTCAGTATTTTGACTATATCATTATTATGCATATTTCCCAACTCCAAGCTGTATAAACTGGAATCCTTATTGGATTTAAGCATATCAGGTGATGTGTATTTGTGTAATGAGGGAGGGTGTGGCCTAAGGAGATCAACACCCTATATCAAGGTGTGTGTATAATTATTAGGCAGCTTCTTTTCCTCAGGCAAAATGGGCCAAAAAATAGATTAACTGACTGAAAAGTCAAAAATTGTAAAAAGTATTTCAGAGGGATGCAGCACTCTTGAAATTGCTAAGATATTGGGGGATGATCACAGAACAATCAAATGTTTTGTTGCAAATAGTCAACAGGGTCGCAAGAACCATGTTGAGAAAAAAATTGGCAAATTAACTGCCAAAGATTTGAGAAGAATCAAACGTGAAGCTACCAGGAACCCATTATCCTCCAGTGCTGTCATATTCCAGAACTGCAACCTACCTGGAGTGCCCAGAAGTACAAGGTGTTCAGTGCTCAGAGACATGGCCAAGGTAAGGAAGGCTGAAACCCGACCACCACTGAACAAGACACATAAGTTGAAACGTCAAGACTGGGCCAAGAAATATCTGAAGACTGGTTTTATGGACTGATGAGATGAGAGTGACTCTTGACGGACCAGATGGATGGGCCCGTGGCTGGATCAGTAACGGGCACGGAGCTCCACTTCGACTCAGACGCCAGCATGGTGGAGGTGGGGTACTGGTATGGGCTGGTATTATTAAAGATGAGCTAGTTGGACCTTTTCGGGTTGAAGATGGACTCAAACTCAACTCTCAAACCTACTGCCAGTTTTTAGAAGACACTTTCTTCAAGCAGTGGTACAGGGAAAAAGTCTGCATCTTTCAAGAATACTATTATTTTAATGCAGGACAATGCTCCATCGCATGCATCGAAGTACTCCACTGCCTGGCTAGCCATTAAAGGCCTTAAAGATGAAAGAATAATGACATGGCCCCCTTCCTCACCTGACCTAAACCCTATTGAGAACTTGTGGTCCCTTCTTAAACGGTTGATTTACGGTGAAGGAAAACAGTACACCTCTCTGACCAGTGTCTGGGAGGCTGTGGTTGCTGCTGCACAAAAAGTTGATTGTCAACAGATCAAGAAACTGACAGACTCCATGGATGGAAGGCTTATGACTGTTATTGAAAAGAAGGGTGGCTATATTGGTCACTGATATTTTTTTGAAATGTCAGAAATGTTTATTTGTAAATTTTGAGTTGTTTATTATTCTCACTTTAACAGATGAAAATAAACAAGTGAGATGGGGAACTTTTTGTTTTTCATTTAGTTGCATAATAATTCTGCACACTAATAGTTGCCCAATAATTGTGCACACATAGATATTCTCCAAAGAAAGCCAAAACCTCACTTTTACTTTCTTAAATATTCAGGTTTGAGGTTTATTAACATTTTGGATTGACCGAGAGCACTGTAGTTGTTCAATAATACAATTAATCCTGAAACATACAACTTGCCTAATAATTGTGCAAACAGTGTATATATTGATCGGAAAGTATTCAGACCTCTTGACTTTTTCAAAGTTTTGTCACGTTCAAGCCTTATTCTAAAATGGATTAAAAAATAAAATAAATTAAACACATCCTAAAACGTGAAAACAGTTTAGTAAAACACAATTTAATTCAAAACAGAAATACCTTATTTACCTAAGTATTCAGACCCTTTGCTATGAGACACACATTGTGCTCAGGTGCATCCTGTTTCCGTTGATCATCCTTGAGATGTTTCTACAACTTGATTGGAGTCCACCTGTGGTAAATTCAATTGATTGGACATTATTTGAAAATGCACACCTGTCTAAATAAGGTCCCACAGTTGACAGTGCATGTCAGAGCAAAAAACAAGCCATGAGGTCGAAGGAATTGTCCGTAGAGCTCCAAGACAGGATTGTGTCGAGGCACAGATCTGGGGAAGGGTACCAAAAAATTCTGCAGCATTGAAGATCCCCAAGAACACAGTGGCCTCCATCATTCTTAAAAGAAGTTTGGAACCACCAAGACTCTTCCTAGAGCTGGCCACCCGGCCAAACTGAACAATCTGGGAAGAAGGGCCTTGGTCAGGGAGGTGACCAAGAACCCGATGGTCACTCTGACAGAGCTCTAGAGTTCCTCTGTGGAGATGAGAGAACTTTCCAGAAGGACAACCATCTCTGCAGCACTCTACCAATCAGGCCTTTATGGAGTTTGCCAAAATGCACCTAAAGGATTCTCAGACCATGAGAAACAAGATTCTCTGGTCTGATGAAACCAAGATTGAACTCTTTGGCCTGAATGCTAAGCGTCACTTCTGGAGGAAACCTGGCACCATCCCTACAGTGAAGCATGGTGGTGGCAGCATCATGCTGTGGGGATGTTTTTCATCGGCAGGGACTTAGAGACTAGTCAGGATCGAGGGAAAGATGAACGGAGCAAAGTACAGAGAGATCCTTGATGAAAACCTGCTCCAGAGCGCACAGGACCTCAAACTGGGGCAAAGGTTCACCGTCAAACAGGGCAACGACCCTAAGCACACAGCCAAGACAACGCAGGAGTGGCTTCGGGACAAGTCTCTGAATGTCCTTGAATGGCCCAGCCAGAGCCCGGACTTGAACCCGATCCAACATCTCTGGAGAGACCTGAAAATAGCTTTGTGGCGACGCTCCCCATTCAACCTGACAGAGCTTGAGAGGATCTGCAGAGAAGAAACTCCCCAAATACAGGTGTGCCAAGCTTGTAGCGTCATACCCAAGAAGACTCCAGGCTGTAATCGCTGCCAAAGGTGCTTCAACAAAGTACTTAGTAAAGGGTCTGAATACTTATGTAAATGTGATGTATCCGTTTTAGTTTTTAAAAATAAGTTAGCAAACATTTAAAAAAAACTGTTTTTGCCCTTGTCATTATGGGGTATTGTGTGTAGATTGATGAGGTTTTTTTTTTTTTTTTTATACATTTTTGAATAAGGCTGTAACCTAACAATGTGGAAAAAGTCAAGTGATCTGAATACTTTCCGAAGGCTGTCATGTGCCTTTTTACTTAGGAGTGGCTTCCGTCTGGCTACTCTACCATAAAGGCCTGATTTGATGGAGTGCTGCAGAGATCGTTGTCCTTCTGGAAGGTTCTCCCATATCCTAAGATGAACTCTGGAGCTCTGTCAGAGTGACCATCGGGTTCTTGGTCACCTCCCTGACCAAGGCCCTTCTCTCCCGATTGCTCAGTTTGGCCGGGTGTTCCAAACTTCTTTCATTTATGAATGATGGAGGCCACTGTGTTCTTGGGGACCTTCAATGCTGCAGAAATTTTTTGGTACCCTTCCCCAGATCTGTGCCTCGACACAATCCGGTCTCGGAGCTCTCTGACAATTCCTTCGACCTCATGGCTTGTTTTTTGCTCTGACATGCACTGTCAACTGTGGGACCTTATATAGACAGGTGTTTGCCTTTCCAAATCATGTCCAATCAATTGAATTTACCACATGTGGACTACAATCAATTTGTGGAAACATCACAATGATGATCAATAGAAACAGGATGCCCCTGAGCTCAATTTCAAGTCTCATAGCAAAGGGTCTGAATACTTATGTAAATAAGGTATTTCCGTTTTTTATATTTAATACATTTGCGAAAACCTGTTTTTGCTTTGTCATTATGGGGTATTGTGTGTAGATTGATATTATATATATTTTTTTGAATCCATTTTAGAAATAAGGCTAATGTAACAAAATGTGTAAGAAGTGAAGGGGTCTGAATACTTTCCGACTCTACTGTATAAACATAGCAAACAAAGTCAGTGATAAGGCATCTCCTTGTTTTATACCCGAGGGTGTGGGAAACCAATCTGTACGATATTCATGAACACGCACACAAGCAATTGGTACTTTGTAAAGAGACTGGATTGCGTGACAACATTTCCCATCAACCCCTGTCTTTAACAAACTATAGGCTAAAAGATCCCTATTTACAAAATCAAAAGCTATTGGGAAATCAATGAAACATGCAAAAGTAGGCTTCTCTTCATGTAATCTATTTCTGATTATTGTACAGACCGAGAAGATATGATCTATACAGGTTCTGGATTTCCGAAAGCTATTTTGTTCTTCCACCAGAATGTTTTGATCCTCCAAAAGGTCATTAGCCTATTTGTTGAGGATCGATGAATATAATTTATAGACCGTACTTAATAAACTATGCCTCTATAGTTCAGTGGCACATTTTTTGAACATTTGGGAATGGGATTCACTATAGACTTATACCAAGTGGATGGCAGTATACTGTACTCAAAACAAATTTGGAGCAAATCATATAGGACGTCAATTAATTTAGGAGATTTTAAAACTTCATTAGGCAGTTCATCAATGCCAAATGCTTTCCCATTTTTGCAGCATCAATCACCTTAACTTCTTCTACAGACAGCTCCTCATTTAAGTACGTGTTACATATATAAGAGTGTTCAAACATTGTATTTTCCAGTTTAGTTCTCAGGGAACATACACTACTGTTCAAAAGTTTGAGGTCACTTAGAAATGTCCTTGTTTTCGAAAGAAAAGCAATTTTATTTGTCCATTAAAATAGCATCAAATTGTTCAGAAATACAGTGTAGACATTGTTAATGTTGTAAATGGCTATTGTAGCTGGAAACGGCTGATTTTTTATGGAATATCTACATAGGCATACAGAGGCCCATTATCAGCAACCATCAGTCCTGTGTTCCAATGGCACGTGTTTGCTAATCCAAGTTTATCATTTTAAAAGGCTAATTGATCATTAGAAAACCATTTTGCAATTATATTAGCACAGCTGAAAACTGTTGTGCTGATTAAAGAAGCAATAAAACTGGCCTTCTTGAGGCTAGTTGAGTATCT